GTCCTTGGCAGCAACATGAAAGGAGCTGGAGGCCATTATCTAAAGAGAAATAAGGAAAAAACAGAACATCAAATGCCACATGTTCTCACTTACAAGGTGGAGCTAACATTGAATACACCCTACCGTAAAAGTGAAAACAACAGACACTGGTGACTATCCGATGAAAAAGGATGAAGGCATGAGGTATGTGCTGAAGACCTACCTGGTGGGTACACCCACTGCCTGCATGATAAGGTTGCTTAGACCGCAAGTCGCAGTGTCATGCAATATACCAAAGGCAGTAAGTAATGCGTTTGTACCCTTTAGACTATAATAAACATAGAAATTATGTTAAAAAATACAAACTTAGAAGCTAAAAGCACGAATGAAAAACACAAACTTTTATAATTATCCAAACAATCTTTTATTGGCATAAACTAAGAAAATGGACAGAATGAGGAAATCAAATACTCAACCCCAATTTACATTTAGTGAACATGTTTTTCAAAAGAACACCAAAAGGATGCAATGGGAAAGAGCAAACTGAATATTCACATACAGAACACTGAGATAGGACCCTTATGTCACACAACACAAAAATCAATGCAAAATACATTAAAGACCTAAAACTCAATTCTGAAACCACAAAACTTCTACAAGAAAACATAGAGTGTGCATTATTTTAGAAAAGAAATCCATACATGTAGGCTGCTAATGGCATTTAAAAAACATTAAACCAAAGGAAACACTCCAAGAAAACACCCATAGACAATGTAATGGCTTGTCATTTTCACTGAAAAGCTGGGGACCCAGTTCTACAGAACAGTGGAACAGATTAGAAGACCCAGATATAAACCTGCACACCTGAAGCCATCTGATATTTGAAAAAAAAATCAACAGCAATAAGCAATGGAGAAAGGACTCCCTATCAGTAAGTGATGCTGCGATAAGTGGTTAGCTAGATGTAGAAGAAGTAACACTGGGCCCCTATGTGTCACCATGTACAGAAAGCAACTCAAAATGACTCAAAGATTGAAATGGAAAACCCTGGGCTGGGCGCGGTGGCTCATTCCTGGAATCCAAGCACTCTGGGAGGCCGAAGTAGGCAGATGACTTGAGGTCCTGGAGTTCGAGACCACCCTGGCTGACATGGTGAAGCCCCATCTCTAATGAAAAAACAAAAGTTAGCTGGGCGTGGTGGCACGTGCCTGTACTCCCAGCTACTCAGGAGAATGAGGCAGAAGAATCACTTGAACCCAGAAGCTGGAAGGTGCAGTGAGCCGAGATTGCTCCATTGCATTCCAGCTTGTATGAAAGAGCCAGACTTAGTCTGTAAATAAATACATAAATACATAAAAATCCAATACCTGAAACTATAAAAAAAAAAATCCTGCATGAGAATCTAGCAAATACCCTTCTTGACAGAGGCTTTGGCAAGGCATTTATATGTCAAGTCCCCAAAAGCAATGGCAACAAAAACAATTACTGATAAGTGGGATGTAATACACAAAAGAGCTGCTGCACAGAACAAGAAACAACCACAGAGTCAGCACACAGCCTATAGAATGAGGGAACATACTCTCCAACTACGCATCTGAAAAATGTCTAATATCCAGGATTTACCATAAAGACCTTAAACAAATAAAATCAGAAAAAAACCCAATTTATAAAACGGTAAGGGACATGAACACATACTTAAAAGAAGGTGTACCAGTAACCAATGAGCATGAAAAGATGTTCAATTTCACTGATCATCAGAGAAATGCAAATCAGAAACATACTGAGATACCATCTCACACTGGTCAGAATGGCAATTATGACACACAGTCTACAACAACAGAGGCTGGTGGGGCAGATGAGCAAAGAAATGCAGGTCCACTGTTGGAGGAAATGCAAACTACTTCAGATCCCCTGGGGAGCAGTGTGGACATTTCTCAAAGAATCTAAAAGAGAACTACCACCCAACGCTGCAATCCCACTCCTAAGGATCTACCCGAAGGAACATTCTTCCATGCAAAACACATATGCACATCAGATTGCCAGGTCCCCACTGATGAGGCCTTTACTGAGGAGGCCACCACTAACCAGGCCCCTGCTGATCAGGTCGCAGCTGACTAGGTCCTGATGACCAGGTCATCTCTGACCATGGTCCACTGACAAGGCCCCTGAGCAGCAGTGCTCAAAGTCTCATTACAATGTCCCCCTCAGCTCACAGACCCTGCCTCCCTGCATGTGTGTCCAGAGGTCAGGCCCTGGGGTCTTTTTTGGGACACTGCCTTTCCTCCAAGACACAGGGAGAGACAGTCAGCCTCAGGCTCCAGGTGACCAGCTCCACACTCACCCCAAAGGCCCTCTGGGCCCAACTCAAAAGAGACAGTAAGCAGCCTGGCACTGCCTGGAGATGCCATCTACCCTATTCCTGAGTGTCAGAGTGTGAAGAACGGAGGGACATTTGGCAGAAGAGACACCCTGTGCTGCTGGGTCTCCCAGGGCCCTTCCCACAGAGCCCCAATCTAAAGACACAGCACAGAGGCTACATGAAGACTAATCCACAACCTTTGAGGCTGAGTCAGGGACCACATGAGGACTGTCCCCAGACAGTCACAAGGCCCTTTGCTTGTTTCTTGGTACCTCAGTGGATGCAGCAGCGGTTTTTCTGTTGGGGACCAGTAAGCACGTGCTGGGGAGGGCTCGCTTGTGCTTCCTCAGTGGCTCCACCTCTGCTTCTAAGAAAAATCACTCATTCCAGGGCTGGGGCAGAAAAAAATACAAGATTAGATTAGAACATCTTGTGCCAGAAACTAAACAAGTGCTGACGGAGTAACAGGAACAAATCAAAAAGACATAAAATCAGCTTGAAATCTAATCTTGGGGAACTGGAGCACCAGAATCATGAGCTTTCCCTCCTCTCTTATTTATTGGTTTCATTTCTCCATGTAGAACCAAAGACGAGAACAAGAAAATAATCATCTGGCAACCATCGTAGTAATAATTGTTAAAACACAAGTCATCCATGAAAGGCTAAATCTAGTGGGTTCTGAGGAGTAACCAGATATTTACAGAGCCTCAGATCATCACCACACAAAATACGGTTCAACTACAAAAAGAAAATCATAACATTAGCATGGACAAGCCTGGCAGGTACTCCTTAGGTCTCCTAAGTAATAAAAACTGTAAAATGCAAATAAGCCTTCTATGACCTTTACTAAAGTATCAATGATGACTTGGTTGTTTGGCTGTTTAAACAGCTGGCATTTGGGCAATTTGAGTATGTCAAACTTAATAAAAATGGTTTTTGTTTGCAAGATCCACTTAAAACTTAAGGAGGCTAAAAAAAATCATTTAAAATACCCTATAAATTATCATCATACATATGATACAAAAATATCCTACACTTCAGTAAATATTGTAATGTTAAATATTTTATGAGAAACAATTAAAATGTTCTGTAAATAGCGCAGTAATAAAGTTTTATAATCTTTTAAATCGTACAGTTTTTCCTTAAGACTTCATGGTTAAATATTCTCTTCATTAGATGTGGCTTACCAGTGGATTCTAGAGAAGAAAGTAGACGGGAGCAAGTGTCCAACACAGCAACAGCTGGAAAGAAAAAGAAAGAATTTTGTTCTTTACCTAGAACACTTCAGTTAACTAAGTGTGAGTTTGAAAACTAAAGAGCTGAGAACTTTATCAGAGTTAATAAGAATGAGAAATATGTATGTACATTTACAATACAAAATTACTATTAAATAATTTACACATGGCATTAATTCTAATTGTGTTTAAATATCAGAGCTTTTTCATTCTTCATTCATGTAATCAACAGCTATGTGCTAAGGTACTAGAACCAGCACAGGAATTATAAGATGAAGATGGTATGGTCCACCTCTCAATAGTCCATATGCTATTAACCTAAAAAAACAGAAGGCAGGCAATGTCCACATACAGTCATAGATACCATGACAGGTATACAGCAGGGCACTACTGGAACACACAGAAGTAACATCTAGCCCACTTTTATGTCAATATCGTAGGCTTTCTGGTGGAGGAGATAACATAGGTTGACACCTGAAGGACAAGGAAAACCTTGCCAGATAGAGGGAAGAGGCTAAGGCAAAGAGCCTGAGGTGAGGAAGTGCCCTGCGGAGTTCCAGTTTGGTGCTAGAGCAAAGGGCAGAATGTGGTAAGTGGAAAGAGACAAGGCTGAGTAACTTGACAAGAATCACATTGACGTGGGTATTTCTATTTCATGGTGAAAAATTTGGAACTTTTCCTGAGAACAGACGTAAGCCAATGACACAGTAAATGACAGGAGATTTAAAATGTCACCTGTCAAGTGACTGCTTATGAAGGGCTATTGCTCAGCTAAGGATTTTGAAATGAGTCTGAGGTCTGTTGGCCTTCAATCTCTATCAAAATCCTGAGAACTTGATGATGACTTTGTTTTCTGAGAACTGTTTCAGTGTGCAGGCTGACAGTTCCATGAGGATGGAAAAACTTAAGAAAGTGTAGAGCCAGTGAAAAAGAGATGCATAGACTTCTTTGGAATTTTTTAAGCTATGGAACATGATAAATTTATGGTGCATAAGTACAGTCTTCTCTGTGAAAGTTTTTGTTTTCACATCTTTCATTAGATGTGTCTAACAAAAAAAAAACAAAACAAAAAAAACAAAAAAAAAAACTTGACACAGTATCTACTAACCCAACAATGAAAAATAATGCCATTTGCTATTTACATTTTATTTCTAAAATAAACCTAAATTTAATTAATAAAGTTTGGAAACATACTTCTCTTTGTTTCTCTAATTATTTGTTCTGCACAGTCCAGCTCCATCTAAAATAAGTAAAAATAATAATGTTTAAGTTAAACAAGAAACATTACTATGAAAATAATATGTCACTTATAAAATGTGGCCTTTAGTACTTTTAGTGACTAGACTTAACTCAAAGTTTGCTTAAATAGAAAAATAATCACATAAATAAAGTAAAATTTCTACTTATTTTAAGTTTAGATAACAGAGGATGTATCTGTGTAATGCTGTTTAGAGTAATCTGACAAAAATGCAGTTAATATTGGTCTACTGAATATACATGATTTTAGAAAGGTAGTGTTTTATTAGTAAAAAGGTTAAACGATGGCCAGGCATGGTGGCTCATGCCTGTAATCCCAGCACTTGGGGAGGCCAAGGCAGGCAAATCACGAGATCAGGAGAGCGAGACCATCCTGGCAAACACGGGGAAACCCCAGTTCTACTAAAAATACAAAAATTAGCTGGGTGTGGTGACACACACCTGTCCCAGCTACTTGGGAGGCGAAGGCAGGAGAATTGCTTGAAACCAGGAGGTGGAGATTGCAGTGAGCCAAGATTGCACCACTATACTCCAGCCTGGCGACAGAGTGAGACCCTGTCTCAAAAAAAAAAAAAATTTAAAAATTAAATAAAGTCATCTTTTGCAATGAATGCATTGCTTTGAAATTCTTAGCAAAACTCTGCCCTTTATAAAAGTTTAATCTGTTTTTTTACTCCAATAAATTTTTATCTTAAAAAGAAATTTCTATTCTCTACTCATAGCAAACTTTTTTATAGTAAATTTTTCTTTCTTTCTTTTTTTCTAGTTTGTAGTCTAAATTAAGGTGGTACCTGTGTAGGTTTCTTCCAAAGGTATATTGAGAGATGCCAAATTTTGGAGTACAACTGAACTCATCACATAGGTAGTGAGCATAGGACCCAATAAGTAGTCTTTCAAACCTGGCCGACTCTGTCCCTCCCTGTTCTTATTTCCCAGTGTCTGTTATTCCCATGTTTATGACAACATGCACCCGATGTGTAGCTCCCACATGAGTGAAAACACGAGATATCTGGTTTCTGTTTCTGCGCTAGTTTGCTTAGGATAGTGGATTCCAGCTGTATCCATATTGCTGCAAAGGACATGATTTTGTTCTTTTTATGGCTGCAGAGTATTCCATGGTATATATGGAATTTTCCAATCTACCTTGAATTTTCAATCTACCTTGGAGGCACCAGGATTCACTCCATGTCTTTGCTATTGTGCACAGTGCTGCAATGAACATACATGTGCATGCATCTTTTTGTTACAATGATTTATTGTCCTTTCGGTATACCCCTAGTATAGGAATGGGGTTGCTGCATCCAATGGTCATTCTTAGTTCTTAATTTCCAAACTGCTCTCCATAGTAGCTGAACTAATTTACATTGCCCCAAACGGTGTGTGTTCCCTTTTCTCCACAGCCTCCCCAACATCTTTTTTTTTTTTTTTGTACTTTTAAACAAAAGTCATTCTGGTGTGAAATGGTATCTCACTGATGTTTTCTGATGATTAGCAATGGTAAGCATTTGTTAATATGTTTGTCAGCCACTTACATGTGTTATTTTGAGAAGTGTCTGTTCATGTTCTTTGCCCATTTTTACTGGTGTTACTTATTTTTTGCTTGTTGATTTGTTTAGGTCTCTTATGGATTCTGGATAATAAGCATTTGCTGTATCCATAGTTTGTGAATATTTTCTTCCATTCTTTAGGCTGTCTGTTTAATCCCGTGATAGTTTCTCATGCTGTGCAGAAGCTCTTTAGCTTAATTAGATCACACTTGTCAATTTTTGTTATTCTTGCAATTGCCTTTGAGAACTTAGCCATAAATTAATTGACAAGTATGATGTCCAGAAGAGTACTTCCCACATTTTCTTCCAGGATTTTTATAGTCAGAGAATGTACTCTTAAGAAAAGCACAAAACTTTTTTGTTTTTGAGATGGAGTCTCCATCACCCAGGCTATAGTGCAGTGGTATGATCTTGGCTCACTGCAACATCTGTCTCCTGGGTTCAAGTGATTCTCCTGCCTCAGCTTCCCGAATATCTGAGATTACACATGCTTGCCAATACACCTTGCTAGTTTTTGTATTTTTAGTAGAGACAGGCTTCATGATGTTGGCCAGGCTGATCTCAAACTCCTGACCTCAAGTGATCTGCCTGCCTCGGCCTCCCAAAATGTTGGGATTACAAGTGTGAGCCACCATGCCTGGTCAAGCACAAAGCTTTTAACATAAAAATGGAAATGAACATTTTAGTGTTTTGTGTAATTTATAAAATGCAATTATTTTGAATTCTACTGTATAATAAACATCCATATGTGGGGTAAAGTGTTTGGATGCCAATAATTCAGTTGTGATTATGGGTGGGAAGAGTTGAGATGGTGCAAATAAGCTTTTTAAAATTTTTTTTATTTTCAAGATGGAGTCTCGCTCTGGTCAGCCCAGGCTGGAGTGCAGTGTGTGATCTCGGCTCACTGCAACCTCCACTCACGGGTTAAGCATTTCTCTGCCTCAGCCTCCCTAGTAGCTGGGATTACAGGTGGCCCACCACAACACCCAGTAAACTTTTTTTGTACTTTTAGTAGAGATGGGAGTTCACCGTCTTGGCCAGGCTGGTCTGAACTCCTGACCTCATGACACACCTGCTCGGCCTCCCAAAGTGCTGGGATTACAGGCATGAGCCACCGTGCCTGGCCGGTGCCAAAGAAACTTTAAAAGTGACATGAGCCAGGCACGGTGGCTTCGATACCTGTAATCTCCAGCACTGTGGGAGGCTGAGGCAGGGGATCATAAGGTCAGGAGTTTGAGAAACAGCTGCTCAAGATGGTGAAACCCTGTCTCTTACTAAAATAAAACATTAGCTGGGTGTAATGGCAGGTGCCTATAGTTCTCAGCTATGCGGGAGCTGAGGTGGGAGAATTGCTTGAACCTGGGAGGTGGAGGTTGCAGTGCCAAGATGGCGCCACACACTCCAGCCTGATGGTGACCAGAGTGAGACACTGGCCTCAAAAAAAAAAAAAAAAAAAAAAAAAAAAAGAGGGGTGTGAACACAGCTAAACTTGACGGATGCAGTTAGAAAGTAAGCCAAAGCATCTCAAAGTATATCATCAGTTATCAGGCAATAACATGCTATTTCTAAAACCTAACTTAAATGCAGATTTTAAAGACATTTTAAACATGTCAGTTTAGTCACATTTATTGAATAAAGTTAGCAAATGGGTATCTCTTGAAAACGAGAGCTTCAGGGAATTAAAAAATGTAAAGTGCCCATTTCCTTTCTGTGCTAACACAGCTAATTATGATCTTTACTTAACATGCATAAATGGACAGAACAACTCAGTATTTCACCAAATTAAAAACAAGAATTATATTAGAGAAGTGAAACCCAAAAGAGAAACGGTCATATAACTAACCTAAGTCAAGTAGTTCTTGCAGTTATTTGAAGTCTGTGGATTTGAAGTAGGAATTCTTACGGGCATTTGGGGAATATATTTTCTGTTGAGTCCTATACTGGGAAGATTTTCAACACAAGGTGACTCTGGGTCTCGCCTTGTAGGAAGAGTGCTGAGAAAATATTTCACCTGCTTGTTCTTCATAAGGAGCTTGGTGTTGATCATTGCTATTTTCTTATTGGATCTGTAAAGATAGCAAAGACAAATGCTTAGTATTTCATTTTTCCTTAAATGATTCTTAATGACTTGCAGTTTTTAAAGACTTGCCCTGAGAGCAAACCAAATTACCCACTAAACAGTGTTTTCACATCGAAGATGTGTGAGAGTATACCTGTTGTAAGGAATTATAATTTTAAAATTGTTCTAAAGGAGCACCTGTGTTTCTAAGGTGATTTATACTGAACAAGCAGTTCAAACAAAGTAGACAAGGAAGAGATAATGGTTGTCAGTGATGTATGGCTCAAAAGGCAAAACTTGCTGCCTTCTAAAATGGCTCTACTTGTAAGATTCTGAAGTTCCATTAGAAATACTTGTATTTAAAGGGCAACGATGCAGGAAAATGGATATATTGATTTGCTTGATTATAAGAACCACTTCACTAGAAATAATTATATCAAAACATCATGTTGTACTCCTTAATGTAGGTTAAGAAAACTAAAATGAACAAAAAAAATCTAGGAATACTTGTGTTGAGTAAACCTTGTACATTCACCCTTGTACATTTCACCCATTATCTAGGAACAATTAAACATTCGGCACTGAGGAATAATTCAGAGAAACAACTCCTAGGGGAGAACTAGATTGGCTGGTGATCAAAAAGAACTGAAGCATCTCTGAAGGCAATTAGCCCCCAGCACTGTGACCAAGGCACTGGAGGTGGGGCTTGTTCTCTGCCTTCCACACGCTCCTTCAGGCTGAACAAGGTGTTATTTTTTAACCACTTTGTGAATTACACTTCTTTAAATTCCTGTGATAATTATTCACTATTTCACAAGGATGCCTTTCTGTAACATCTTGAATATGTTACACAAATAGTCTTTCTTGAGGCACCCTCTAGTGATAATACTAAAGATCACAATCAAAAACAATCGTGCCCAGAGTAGCAGTACCACTTGACACTTTGGGTTTAGGTTGTGATCTACCAAAAATTAAATTAAAATCATTAATATTTCTATTTAGGGAAATTCTGACAAGTAATCTTATAACAAGATCACTTTATTAATTACAAAACTTCAAAAATACTTAGTGAAAAAAACTAACAGATCAGGTTAACTACATGAGATTTTTCAGGGGAAAAAAGCCATACAAAAGCAAAAAAACAAAAAAAAGTGAGAGGAGAGACAGAAACTATCCTTGACTAACATTTTAAAGGTAAGATTATTTACTAACATTATTTTCCAAAATTACATGATCAAATTAGCGTTCACTTCCTACTAATATCCTGAAGCCATCTCACTAAAAATTATGTTTTCAAAACAAATTAATGAGCTTTATTCATTCCCTATGAGTGTATGTTTTGACTTACTTCGTTAATGTTTTTGACACGGAATTGTTAGCTTTCAATGCTATTGCAAAAGCTTCCTTATATTCTTCTAATTCAGTTGTAACCTCTTTATAAGCAGTCTTCATTTCGGAGAATTTACATTCCGCATCTTTAAGTTCGAGTTTCTTCTTATTTAGCGAAGTCATATTATCCTTATTTAACTGCTCTAATTGTTTTTCATACTGTGCTTTTCCTAAAACAAATGAAAAGAATACACTTTTAAAACAATTATAACCTAATTATTATGTTTGTTGCCTTTCACTTTGAGTCAGTGATTCAAAGAGCAATTTTGAACATGTTAAAAAAAGAGGCTGAAGCTTAAAATGTTTATCAGCAATATCCAAACTAATAACTGAATTCACAATTAAGTCTGATTTATAAAAATTTGAAATCATAATTATGTTAGTATTAATGTAATCTGGTCATATAAAAATAGAATCCATTCATAATTTTAAAAAGTGATCAATGAACGATGTAGCTAAGACCAATTCAAAAGTATCACATGATTTCTAAATCACAAGTTTTTCTTATGCCAACTGGTCTTAATCATCAAATGACTCCATCGTGAGAACCAAGAGTTTGAGGCTGCAGTGAACTATGATCAAACCACTGTCTCCAGCCCGGGTGACTACAGTTGCCCAGAGCCCAGACTACACTAGCAAGATCCTGTCTCTTAACAACAACAAAAAAGCTCAAAGAACTAGGGGAAAGTAGTTTGGTTAATGGATATAGAATTACAGTTAGATAAGAGGAATGAGTTCTGGTATTCTGCGGCATTGTAGAGTGAATATGGTTAACTATGATTTATTGTATATTTTTTAAAAGCCAGAAGATTTTGAATGTTCACAATTCAAAGAAATGAAAAATGATTGAAGTAGTAAATGTGCTAGTCAGCTTGATCATTACATCCTATATACGTGTATCAAAATATCACTAACCCATAATTATGGATATATGTGTCAAAAGAAAAGCTATATTCATCCCATTTAAAAAAACCGAATATAGGCCAACCTTACTGACTTCCTCTTAATGAATAGAATGCAGTAAAAGGGATACCATGTGGCTTCTCTATCCCAGACTGCTTTCACTTAGAATCCAGCCCCCAGATTGTCAGCACACGCAGGCCACAAAGAGAACCTGGCAGTGCCAGTGTCAGTATTCATGCTGCCTGCCCAAAGGAAGGTTCCAGCCAATGGCCAGCATCAACCATCAAACACATGGGTGAATAAAGGCCTCAGATGATTCCATTTCCCCAACTGATCAGCTGTTCCTAGGGAAGTTGAGAGGAGCAGAGACAAGCTGTCCTGGCCAAACTTTTTCCAAACCACAGGTTCATTAACAAAAAAAAAGTTTCTCTTTTAAGCCACAAAACTCTGGGTAATTGTTAGAAAAATAAGTTTCAAAAAGAGACAACAGGAAACACAATATGCAACAGAAAAGAGTCTCCTTTAAAGTAGGATATAATAAATGTTGAGGTTAATTTATTGATGGCAAACATTACTGAGAAGCAGCAGATAACCAGGAGAGAGACATAAGCTGCTGAGGAGGAACTTTTCCTAAAACCCCTTCAATTATGAACTCTAATAACAAGGCAAGGGTTCCCCTCAAGTTAGGAAATAAGACTGGGAAGCAAGAAGACATATGATTTGAAAAACAACTAGAAATACTTGGTTACATAATCAAAATCAGACATTGACCTAATTTCAATTAACTAAAATTCTAAAAGGTAAGCTTTGAGTGTTTATTAATCAATCTAGTATTTAATTTTTATTTTCCTTTTCTCAATAAGGAAATAAGGAGAACATTATGGAGTGATTTTCTGTCCTCGCAGAAGTAAAATAAACAATGTACTTTGAGTGTTAAGAAATCCAATGCAATTTCTCCTTTACCTTACTCCAAGCTTGTTTGTATGGAGACATTAAGACCATCCCATCTCTGTGTTATACCACAAGGCTTCTCTATGGCACACAAGCTGGCTCTGAAATTTTGAAAGTCAAAATACTAATCTACTATGTGTCTCTGATAAATTGTCTGAACATTACCTGATTTTTAAGTGCTGCACTCCTAAGACTTTTTCTTGGAATGAGTTAAACTTTATATTCTAAGAATCGTCTACTGAGCTAGAAAGCAGAGCTGTGCATCTCTGTTTCGGTAAAAGGAGCTCTACACAGGGAGCTGTGGTTTCTGAGAATGCAAGATCTGCACCAAGAAAAGGATTAGCCACACAGTGCTACACAAGAGAACTAGCTACCAGGTGGAAAGAGGATCTGCAAACTGAAAGATGATGACTTCACTTGATTTCCACTGAGGAAAGCTGAGGAAAGGTGGCCCAGACTTAAACTTCTCCTTCCTGGATGGTAAATATCTATGGAAGATTCTATGAATTATAATGAGTTAGCAAAACATAATGCACTAAATATTAGACTATGTCAGCAGATCCTGTGACCAAAACTTAATGAAAATAAAATGACAGCAGGAGGCAATGGAAAAGATACTACAGATTTGAATGGAGAAAAAAAGAAATAAAGTATGTCTTGTAGGCTTGGCTTCCCATCACATCTTAGAGTAAGTAAGGTATAAGCTGGCCAGAGACTCCTCTGAGACACAAAAGGTGAAGTTAAAGATATTCCACTAAATTTAATTTTTATTATGACATAAGACAACTGGTAATATGCAACATGATTAAAGAAACTTCTCAGTAAATTCAATTTGACCTTGGCATAAGAACAGACATAAACAAACTAAGAGTTGATGATCTAAAAATAAACCTGCACATTTACAGTCAATTGATTTCATATAAGGTTAACAAAGGAACAAAATGGGAAAAGAATAGTCTTTTCAACAAATGGTGCTGGAACAACTGGGTATCCACATGCAAATAAATAAATAAATTTGTACCAAATATCTTATTTAAAAATTAACTCAAAATAAAACAGTTAACTGTAACAGTGAAAACTATAAAACCCTCAGAAGAAAACACTGGCATAAATCTTTGTGACTGCATTTCGTAGTGTTTTCTTAGCTATGACTCCAAAGGAAAAATGGATTCAATGAACTTCAAAATTGAAAACTGCTGTGCCTGAGAAGACAGTATCAAGAAGTGAAAAGGCAAGACACTAAGTAGAAGAAAGTATTTGAAAAGCATATGGCTGATAAGTGACTTACATATATAAGACACGTAAAGAACATTTGCAATTCATAAGTAACAAGATAACTCAATTTAAAAAATGGGCAAAGATTTTGAACAGATACATCTGCAAAGAAGATACAAAGATGGATAATGAGTACATTAATAGCTGCTTGATGTAATTAGTCTTTAGGAAAATGTAAATCAAAACCACATGTGGTATCACTTCACACCACAGGATAAAAATCTTTGTTCAATAGAAAAAGAAAGTAAGTGTTAGGAAAAACGTAGAGAAATTAAAATCTTACCCAATGCTGCTGGGAAAGTAAAGTGGTGCGGCCACTTTGGAAAACAAACTGGTAGCTCCCCAAAAAGTTACACATGAAGTCACCATATGACCCAGAAATTCCAGTCATAAGTATATACTCCAGAAAAATAAAAACATATGCAAGCACAAAAACTCATACATAAATGTTTACAGCAGCATTATTCACAGGAGTCAAAAAGTGGAAAGAACCAAAACATCCATCACCTTTGGGTGGGAAAGAACCCAAAAGTCCATCACCTGGTGAATGGATAAATAAAATGTTTGATGTATCCATACAGTGGAGTATTACTCAGCAATAAGAAGAAATTAAGTACTGATACTGATAGGAGGAGGAGACAGCAAAATGTCTAGGCAGATACAGAAGGGTCGCCAGAGAATCTCCAACCAGCCCTTAAGTGTTTACACCAGATGTTATGTGCAGATAAAGGAAACTGGACTTGTCTTGCCTAGACATGCTGGCAGTGAACTGGAGGCCCACATGCATTGGGGGGATGGGGTGTAGCCACTAGGAATTCACATCTTATGCAGGGGAGGAGCCTGGCCACTTCAGCTCATGTGCTCCTGGTATTCAGTTGTGAGGTCGAAACTTGTTGGCAGGACCCCTCTCTTTGCTGAGAGCTTTCTTTTCACATAATAAATTCTGTCCTCCTCACCCTTCAGTGTGTCTGCGTGCTTAATTTTTCCTGGTCATGACAGAAGAACCCAGATTTAGCTGAACTAAGGAGAAAAACCCCGCATCAAAACCTGCTACAACACAGATGCAGCATGAAAAATTATGCTAAGTGAAATAAGCCAGTCACAGTAGACCACTTGCTTTTTATTTCAGAGGCTTATAGGCAAATCCATACAAAGAAGGTGGGTGGTTCCCTAGGGCTGAGGGAGGAAGGGGAAACTAGTGAAGATGGCTAAATGATGTGGGGTTTGTTTTTAGGGTGATGAAAATGTTCTAAAATTGATTGTAATGATGACTGCATAACTGTCTGAAAATATTAAAGTCAATGACTTGTATATTTTAAATGAGTAAATTGCATGGTGTGTTCAAGATTTCTCAATAAACCTGTTACGCACCACCCCCCTCCCACACAAATTAGTTTGGTACTAGTGGAGACAGGTACTGCTTCGTTTCACATCACTTGCCAGAATTCAAGACATAAGAGAATCAACAGCATGTCCTTTTTATAGAAAAAAAAATTTGTATTTTAAAAACTATCCTTTTTATTAGTATCAAGTCTGTAAAATTAAATGAAAAATCTTTCACTGCTTAAAGCACTGAGAGATTTATAATGAGGAATAAGACCTTGTTTCCTTTGGCCCCAATAAAGGGTCTAGGAATCGCATGCTTCAAACTATAAAATCTCATCAGATGGGTTTTTATTAACTCTTATAATGTGGCTTACTTTCTAACCTGATTCTGGTACAGCATCACAGACAGAAGCTGCTGAAGGAAATCAAAATATTTAACCCCAAATATATTTTTTTTACATATTTTGAAATGGCTGCTGCAGGGCCAAGAGATTGAAATGGCCCTCATTAATGTAACCCAGTCTCTCCCCTTCTAGGTCTTCCCAGATATGGGGAAGATTAAGAGCCTGAAACATTTAAAGTCTGAAAAGATATATTTACCCTCTATTTTCTCAACATATTTTGACAGAATTTGGGCTTTTCCACTATTAATATTTTCCCAAATTACATGACTTTTAAGCCCAAAACTGATTTAAAATTACCGTATGTTGGAATATAAATTTTTCTATTACAAAGATACATGCGTTTGTATGTTCATTGCAGCACTATTCTCAATAGTAAAGACATGGAATCAACCCAGATGTCTATCAGTGATACATGGGATAAAGAAAATGTGATATATATACACCATGGAGTCATAAACATGAATGAGATCATGCTCTTTGCAGGGACGTGGATGAACTCAAAGCTGTTATCCTCGGCAGACTAATGCAGGAACGAAAAACCAAACGCTACATTTTCTCACTTATAAGTGGGAGCTGAACGACGAGAACACGTGGACTTGGGGAGGGGAACGACAAACACTGGGGCCTGTTGGGGTCAGGAGGGAGAGCATGGAGATCAATAGCTAATGCCTGCGGGGCTTAATATCTAGGTGATGGATTGACAGGTGCAGCAAACCATCATGGCACACGTTTACTTATGTAACAAACCTGCATATCTCACACAAGTAATCTAGACCTTAAGATAAAATAAATTTTTTTAAAAAATTACCTTATGTTTTAGCTTCTTAATCAGAATATCCATTTTCAGTTGATCTGTTTTTAAGTCTCGATGGCAACTGAAGTCTTCATTTCCAAATGCACTTAACATATTTATTGCCATTTCCAGGAGTTTCTTATATCTGCAGAAATGCACAGAATTAGTAAGTATTTTTAAGAGTAAATATTTAATAATTGTTTTAACAGATATTATGTCATGGCATATCAAAGAAACAAATCTATAAACTATGATCCTTTCAGTTTCAACTGAGCATAGTTTGGAAGCATTCTATATGAAATTATAATCTTAGATACATAATATGAAGGACATTTTATGGCATATATGGCAGGCAAAATGGTATTATAACCATACAGTTTTTGTTTTTGTTTTTGTTTTTTGAGATGGAATTTCACTCTTGCTGCCCAGGCTGAAATGCAATGGTGTGATCTCAGCTCACTGCAACCTCTGCCTGCTGGATTCAAGTGATTCTCCTGCCTCAGCCTCCTAGGTAGCTGGGATTATAGGCGTGTACCACCACGCCTGGCTCATTTTGTAATTTTAGTAGAAATGGGGTTTCACCATGTTGGTCAGACTGGTCTTGACCTCCTGACCTCAAATAATCCACCCACCTTGGCCTCCCAAAGTACTGGAATTATAAGTGTGAGCCACCACACCTGGCCTAACCATCCACTTTTTGTAAATAAACTATTCATATCTATGTTGGTATGCTAAGATAAAATAACCTATTACTAAATATAAGCCATAATCCAGAGATTAGTAACCAAGATAATAAAGTAAAACACATAACATTTGAAAAAGACACAAAAATAAATTTTGATACCCACTGACCACATTCCACAAGAAGAAAAAAATGTACACACAAAAAGCATCAAGGACATTATTCAATGTAGAAAGAGAAGTAAGAAAACATCTTTAATATCTGAGTTAAGGAGAAAAAGGAAACAGGCAGTTTTAGAAAAAAGGAAAGGGGCAGAGAGACGTGTAATGATTTAAAGACTTTGAAGACGAGATCTAGAGATCTTTGCTGATGTAATGTCAACAAAATGAAAGAGATACAAAACCATATAGAGAAAGGCAATGACAGAAAAATGTCGATTAGAATCAGAAAACCAACTTAAGTGCTCAGTAAATAAACAGAAAAGTAGCTGAGTTCAGGGATTCAAAGACACATTCCATTTAAAAAAAAATCTGGGCTGGGCGCGGTGGCTCAAGCCTGTAATCCCAGCACTTTGGGAGGCCGAGACGGGCAGATCATGAGGTCAGGAGATCGAGACCATCCTGCCTAACACGGTGAAACCCCGTCTCTACTAAAAAATACAAAAAACTAGCCGGGCGCGATGTGGCGTGGCTGATCTGTTAACGTCCCAGCTACGATCGGGAGCGAGCAGGGAATGGCGTAAACCCGGGAGGCGGAGCGTTGCAGTGAGCTGGAGATCCGGCCACTGCACTCCAGCCTGGGTGACAGAGCGAGACTCCGTCTCAAAAAAAAAAAAAAAAAAAAATCTGTGATCAACAACATGAATGCTCATTTTACTTTTAAGTTATACCATATATTTATATACATATGGAATTTATTTCCATAAGACAGAAGTTTAATAACACCTATACTTCATGTATAGAATGGAGGTATCTGTGTAAAATGAGTAAATTTCCATTGTTTTATATCTAAAAGAAAAAGAAAGAAGCAGAAACAAAATATAAGCTACATATCAAGATAAATTTTGATGTTAAAGAATGACACAAATAGGTCTTCTTTAAAGAATCTGAATGCAGCAGAGGATACTACAAAAGGAAGAAAAGATGACCACAGACAGCAAAAGTATCTTCAGAAATAAAAATTCAAACTAGATAATGAAGAGTGCACTTGACTTGTCCAAAGCTTTTCATTGTTTTCAAATCATTAAAGAATAAGTGGCCAGGCAGCGGTGGCTCATGCCACTTTGGGGAGGCTGAGGCCCTAGATCATAGAGGTCAGGGACGTTCAACGACCAGCCATGCACTAGCTTGGCAAAACCCATCTCTACTAAAAAATACAAAAATGTAGCCGGGCATGGGTGACACACCTGTACATCCCAGTACTCACGGGCAGGGCTGAGGCAGGAGAATTGCTTGGAGGCACTAGGTTGCAGTGAGCCGAGATGAAAAAAAAGCGTCATTACGTCCCTAGCCTGGGAGACAGAGCCAGACTGTGTCTCAAATAAAAATAAAAATAAAAATAAAATAAGTATAATATTTTGGCATTCTAAAATAATTTCAGATTATGTTGTTTCTCTTATATACATATTTTTAATATAAATTTTTTCATCCCAACCTTGCCCCAACAGCTCAGCTGACTCCTGCCCCCCAATGAGACACATGCCTATAAAGTTGTGTTGTGAGCTTGTAAAATACATTTCAAAATAGAATTCGTTTAATTATGAAAATGTAGACATAAAATGAATTTGTATCTTGATTATAGTCAAGTAAAATTATAGTTAAATCAATTAATAAAGGATTAACATGTTCTACAATATTAAAATCAAACCCAGTTGCCTCTTCTTTTAATTCATGATTTTTCTTTCTTATTTGATTCACATTATACTCCAGTGATGATACTAACTCAAAAAGTTTTCTTAAGTCTTCATTTTTTTCTTCAGGCTTAAAAAAAGTGTTTAAAATTATTTTTGTAAAATCCAGAGACCCTCTTTTATCTTAAAAATATGATTTCTCATAAGTTGATGAGTAATATGTATTTAGGCAGGGCTATAAAGTACATTTTATAAACCTGATGCCAATAAGGGCAGATTTTAAAACTAGTCACTTTTCTCAAAATGCTAAAAATGATTCATACTTTCATCATTATCTTTTCTGAAATTTAAACTGTCAAAAATGTTTGTTACAAATGAGGAGTTTTACACACAAAATACTAAGAGTTAGTAAAAAAAAAAAAGAGTAGTTATATTTACATTTTAGTTTTTAAAGATGCTCTAGAAACATTTTCATTAATAGTTTAAGATATTCCAACTTTTCTTAAATTACATCTTACTAAGACGATTTTTAGAAAACTCTTATCTAGTTCTCATTACATTTTTGGTCCTCATCTGTCTTCAGGTTGAGCTAAATACGGTCATTCTCTGTAAGTATTCACCCATAGGTTTCAGTTTTTCCCTTTCTCTTAACCATTTCTTTTTAAATAAAGTTTTTTTTTCTATAATAAACAAAAACACAATTTTTGTCTACTTTTTGTGGCTTTTCTATTTTCCTGTTTCTCCCCTTCCATTGGACTCTATGACACATGGTCTCATCCAGTAATCTATTTTTCATCACTAGTTGTTTTTAACAGTGAAATCTAATTTTTAATAATTCCAATAAAAAAGTCCAAGGGTCATGAAGGACTTTGTCCTGCTTTGCTCAGCAGCAACTGCGAGCAGTGACCAAATGCTCCCTCTGCTCCTCTGACCCCACTTTATTTCTAAATGCAGCAACCTGTTGTTCGGCCCTATGCCTTTCTGTTTTTATTGTTGTTGTTCTTGTTTTTGAGATGGAGTCTCCCACTGTCACCCAGGGTGGAGTGCAGTGGCACGATCTCTGCTCAACACAACCTCCACCTCCTGGGTTCAAGCAATTCTCCTGCCTCACCCTCCTAAGAAGATAGGATCACAGGTATGTGCTACCATGCCCGGCTAATTTTTCATATCTTTAGTAGGGACAGGGTTTCACTATGTTGGCCAGACTGATCTTGAACTCCTAACCTCATGATCTGCCTGCCTTAGCCTCCCAAAGTGCTGGGATTACAGGACTGAGCCACCACACTCAGCTGCTATTCCACTTTTTAAATTCTCTCAGGACTGCTAAAATCTCAAAACTTTGACCTAGATTCTCTCATCTACATTTCCAGCTCTGACCTTTTATCTTGAGGCCTCTTCCTTCTAGTACACATATTATAGACAATATTCTCAACCACACACTCATACATTGCTACTTTGTGCAGATTACTTTTGCAGATAGCGAATCTTGTATATTCTATTCTTGTCTCTTCTGTTGGTTCTTATTGATATTACTTTGAGTATACTGTTATTTTCTAATCTCAAAGGGGGACAGTCTCACCATTATGATACTGACCAGTATACTTTGTCCCTTTTTTCTTTCTTTCTTCTTTTTTGGACCAGTATACTTTGTCCCTTTTTTCCCTTTTTTGAGATGGAGTCACACTGTGTCATCCAGGCTGGAGTGCAGTGGTGCCATCTCAGCTCACTGCAACTTCCACCTCCTCGGTTCAAGTGATTCTCCCGCCTCGGTCTCCCAAGTAGCTGGGACTACAGGTGCCCACCACCAAGCCTGGCTAATTTTTATATTTTCAGTAGAGACAGGGTTTCACCATGTTGGCCAGGCTGTTTTTGAACTTCTGACCTCAGGTAATCCACCCACCTCAGCTTCCCAAAATATTGGGATTACAGCACCCAGCCCTTTTTTTCCATCAGATTATCACTTGTTTGCCTTTGTTTTCTTTTAAAGAGTTTCCTTTGCCATAGAGATATAGCATGATGAAAGTCTTGTTCTAAAGTTTCTTCGGGGGACACTCAGCTATATCATTGGGAAGCTCCAGTCAACTAGAGGTCTCCCTTCCTCCTAATCGAGATACTTCATCTCAAAATGGTGTCCACCAAATGTCTTAATCCAGGTAGTCTCTTGCTTAGAAATTCATGAAATAAGAACATTCTCAAGAAGTTAGAGGCTATTGATTGAGATGGTTTAATATTGTCCCTTATTATATGTTTTACTCCCAAGGCAGACATCAAAGTGGCTAATAACTCTAAGTCTGATGTCTAACTCACTTCTATGGGAATCTATACAAAACTTTTTATTTATGAGACAAGAGTCTCGCTCTGTTACCCAGGCTGGAGTGCAGTGGCTTCATCACCGCTCACTGTAGCCTCAATATTCCAAGCTCAAGTGATCCTCCTACCACAGCCTCCCAATGTAGCTGGGACTACAGGCATGCACCACCATGCGTCAGCTAAGTATTTAAATTTTTTTTTTGTTTTTAAGAGACAGGATCTCACTATATTGCTCTGGCTGGTCTCAAACTCCTGGGCTCAAGCGATCCTCCTGCCTCAGCCTTCCAAAATGCTAGGATTATTGGCATGAGTCATCTCCCCCAACCAGGTGTTTAACCGGGGACTAACATGAAGCACTTAGAAGAGTACATGGAACATAGTGAGCTACAAAAATATTTGCTCCTAGCATAATAATTTAATTGTGTATCTTAACAAAATTGTGTATGTTAGGCAGGTGGCATGCCAATGGAAGTGGTCTCCTATAACTGCATGCAATCATTCTTCTCACCACTGAGAGTTGCAGCAAATGGGGGCATATATTTATAACTTACTTTTCTCTCTGTGTGACTCAGTAGGCAATGACTATGCATGTACTACAATGTTAAGTAGCACCTCCTGGATTGAATAGTACATAACTGACATAACCAGCAGAGACAGGCTAAAGACACTGAGCCGAAAGCCCTGGATGCTACTGCTAAATTGAAGCTCCTGAATCAGTTCCCTCTGACCAACTGCTGCTGTGGTGCTGCCTTCACAAGCACTCTGCTGAGCACTCAGATTGAGGGGCTGTGCTATCGTTCATCAGACAAGCCTCAGCCAGAACTGTTCAGCTGACAAACTGGTAGCAGTCCAGAAAGACAGTTCTGACTGCATCGTGAAAAAAGGCCAATTTAGATTCTTTCTCATAGTGAGAAAAACATAAACATGGATTTGAACGATTCTCCTCTATTAGACTCATTGGTTTAGATTTGATATTTAATTGCTAAAAATACATTTAGAATATAAACCTTACTGTGTCAAAGTCTCAAAGAAGAAATAATTGGTGTGATATAAAGTACTTCATTGTATGCTAAAATCTTCTAAGCTAAAGTGTTTTCAATTTATGCAAGGATAGGTGGCATACCTATTATATATTATTCCCCTATTAAGCACATTTATAATAAGAGAAAATTATCTTCCATAAAAAAATAAAAGCCATGTAAAATTAAGGACTAAGTTTTTCTGCACAGACTAGACAACAATTGCTAACACATAAGGTCAATGAGAGTCAGAACAGTCAGAGAAAGCTTCAGGAAAACAAAAAAATTGTCTGCCAGGTCTGAATGAATGAGGCTAGATAAACAGAAACTAAGAAGGCAGAAAGGCTAGCATGAGCAAGACAAGTGCTGAAATCTGCCCAATTAACTCTGAGGATAAAGTCCAAGAGCAGGGAAATAAAAACACATGTTCACATAGTAACCTGTAAGTGAATGTTCGCAGCAGCATTTTTCATAATAGCTAAAAAGTGGAAACTAACCTAAAGGTCCATCAACTGATGAATGAATGGAAAACAAGTAGAGCCATGCAATACAATATCATTTAACTATAAGAAGAAATAAACTATCAATGTGTGCTAAAACATGCATGAATTCTGGAAACATTATGCTAAGTGAAAAAGCCAGTCACAAAGGACGACACGTTGTAGAACTCTATGTATGTGAAATATGCAAAACAGGCAAACCTATGGAGACAAAGGTAGATGGTGGTTGCCTACAACAGGGGTAGGTGAAGGGACATGGAGGAAGGCTGCAGTCATGCCTAGGAGATGTGGGGTTGCTTTTCAGGGTGACAAAGATGCTGTGAATATACTAATAGATACTGAGTTGCACATTTTAAATGGTTGAACTGTCTGATATGTGAATTATATCTCAGTGAAACTGTTTTTAAAATCCAATGGCAGGACCAAGATAATTTTATCAACTCTCAATTTTTGATGTACATACTATATCAGATCTAAATATTTCTACACTTTTATAGTATATTTTAAATAAAAGATAAAGAGAATGCCTAACTTTTCAAATAGTTTGTAAATTAACATAAAACATGTACATTTCAAAGAACAGTATAATGGCCTCTCTCTACAAGTTAACCTAGAATCTGTGAAATAAATAGATACAGATTCTGTGTCCATTCACAAAAGTGAAGAAATAAGACAATTTTCTGGAACATTCCATTAAATCTTCCCCTCTGATTTAATCTAGCCTGCCTCATCATAGCAATACAAAAATTACTTGAAAATATGTTGAACAGGAAAAAGGTCAATTTTCTGTGAGGAAGGATGTAGAATTCTTAATTTTTCCAAGGGTACATACTGTAAGAGAAAAGCTATGCAATGGTTTTTCAAAATGGTAGAATGAAAGCCACAATATTAAAAAAAAGTACATTATAAAGATAGTAAAATGGAAAAATTAAAATGAAAATACAAAATCAAGCTTCTGCCAAAATCAGTATCCTAAAACATGTTATATAATTCAACCAGCTACAGAATAACTGTCGACATGTTAAATTTCATACATATTTGACTTTTCACTTGAAATAATTTCTTCTTTGAGGCCTGTGTCTTATCCAAATTAATGTGACAATGTGATGTACCTTCCAGTGGAGACTCTAACGTAGTTAATTTTTTACGGGGATCAGCCACTTCTTGAAGTTGCCTCACAACCACCTGATAAAATATTTTTGTTACTGATTTTATAAATTGCCTTCTTATGTTAGTAACATTTAACTCTAATATACCTACTTTGAAAATTATCACCACACACATCATTCACTTTCTTTCATACATGTACACACTTTTATTACTGAATTCAGCGAGGGAGGCAGAAATGTGTTACCTTCCTGCCGAATATTGGTATTCTCTTACTTAACAACAGATTCATCCACGCATTTGATCATCTTAGAAGCTCAACTCAACCTCAAAGTTCCTAGCAATCAATCAACCTGTTCAAATCCTTCCAACAGATTCCTATCTCAGAAATAAAGAAAATTCCAATGGCCTTTGAGGCCCTCAAAGCCTAAAACAGTCCTCCTACCGTCCCTCTCTGACTCAAGCTCCTACAATCCCCTGGTGCCTCACTCCATTCCCATTGTACATGAAGCCTGCCACCCCTCTTTACGTCTTGAGCAATGGGATCTACATGCCTAAACTCATACAATCACAGGCAGCTACAGTATCTTTGTACTGGACAAAGTTATATTCAAATGATAGTCATTGAGTCTTGAAATAAAAATTATGAGCTAATTATTAATAAAAATATTCAAAGTAAACTATAAATTCCAGTGGGAAGACCAAATCAAATATGGTTTTGCTAAAATCTACCACATTTATCCTAAATTGTAATTTTATAAGAAGTAGGTGCCTTTAAAACACTATGTGGTCATAAAAATACGTAATTTGAGACTCACATTTTCAGATTTAAGTTAAATTAATATGAATAATAACAAAGCTTATACCAACTAAAATATATAAAAAGCTACTTAAAGGAAGGTATTAGAAGACACAGCAATACACTTCAGTTCATCTGGGGAATCTAGAATTAAGTGACAAAGCAAATCACTTACTTAAATTTTAATTTGAAAATACTCATTTCAGGTGTAAACATTTCCATTTATACCTTCATCATGGTCTTAACATGTGGCAACATAAAGACATTAAAATTATTGCTTCAGCAGCACAGGACTATCTACCTTAAAATATGACTCTGTGCCTAATAAAATTTCATAGGTGACACAATGTCTTTTCTCAAAGTAAATCATCTCTCAGCTCCACCTTTTATTTCCTGGAAGCAAGGTATGTTTCTAAGCTGATACAATAAACACATTTTTTCTTTTTTTTTATTAAAAAGCTTTATTGAAATATAATTTACATACTATAGAATTTGTTTTAACATAAAGTTAAAAGATTTTTAGTAAATTTACTGAGTTGTGCAGCCATCTCTACAATCCAACTTTAGAGCATTTCCATCACTGCACGATCCCTCCTACCCATTAGCAGTCACTACCAGCTTCCAGCCCCACCCTTTGTAAACATTAATCTACTTTTTGTCCCTATACATTTATCTTTTCTAGATGTTTCATGTAAATGGAATTATACAGTATGGTAAACACACATTTTATCTATTGATTTTTATATTCAACTAGGTTCAACATGTATCCAGAACCAAATGTTTAAATTATCTTTCTAGAAGTTTGAAAGTATTTATCTTCCTTGACACTACTCTTTCTGTTTTCTCTTTCTCATACTGAAAGACACTTTCTTTTAAATGATTATATTCATTCATTCGCTTATTATTTTTCTCTTCTAGCAGGAGGTCTTTCTTTCCACTCTCAATAGAATCTCTTTGGATATTAATTACTATCTCTTGATGATCCTCTTTCTGATGAACATCGTCTAGTTGCTGTTCAAGCCGCAGATTTTCACGTTGGAGTTGACATATCCTCTCTTCTACACAGTTCCACTTTCCAGTGGATTTACTCACTTTTGCTTCTGCATTTTGATACATCTCTTTCATTTCCTTTATTTGCTGCTGTGTTTGGCTTAGGTCATTGTGTACAGTTTCTAAAGCCAATGACTTTTTTCTGAGAGTATCTCTTGTCTTACGGGATTTATCTTTCTAAGGTATTGCAATTTAATTTGCATTTTAGAAAGTCGTTCCCAGTAAGAAACTCATTCTTATCTCTTGACTTCAGAATATCAGAAGTCATTTTTTACTTGTAGGAGCAAACGTTCTTGTGTTCTCTCTAAAGCAGTCTGTTGAGTTTCTTTCTGTTCACATTTTCACGTGTTACTTATGTAGCAGCCAGGCCAGCTCTAGACTGATACGAGTTCAATTTCAGGGCTTCAGTCTTGCCTTTGCTTTCTTTTTCCTTCAACAGGTTTGGAATTGGAGCCCTGTGAATTCTCAGCCTGTGGAGATCCATGCAAGCTCTGTATCAATTACTTGAATGCTGTTTTTTTGTTAGTTTCCTCATTGAGTTTTATACTTTCAAGGTCAAGCATTTATTTCTTTAACCCAATTAATGTCCGTAAGAATTTATTTTCTTTTTCCAGGCTGGTCATTTTTCATTGTGCATAATTTCCTGTCTGAGTATAGCAACATCCTGTCTTTCAAAATTGGCATTTTTCATCCTCAGAATCTTTTCATTGCTTCACGTAATGGACAGCAAATGGTTAACCGTAA